AAAAGACACATTGCCATTAATCCCCCTCAAAAATACTCCTACTCCCTCGCTTTGAACACACTTATCCCATTGTTCTTCCCACTTTCTAAAGCAGTTCTGCAAGTCCTCTTTCTAGAGTGTCTTTAGTTATGCTGTCCTGGCTGCCTCTATGTCCTGAATTGATTCAAAACATTTACCTTTCATGGTCATTTTGACTTTAGGGAAAGAGCCAGAAGTCGCATGGTGCCAGATCCGGTAAATAAGGTGGATGAGGACACACCATTTTTATTTAACAGAAATTGTTGTACCAGAAGTGATGTGTGACAGGGAGCCATTCCGTTGTGATCACAGAATACTGTGAATGCTGCTGCCGAGTGCCATCCAAAGGAAAGGCAGGGATCTTCCATATGGGAAGCGGTGCATCGAACCTTAGTAACTGTGTGACAAGTTTCATCTTGTTCAGTGCAGTTAGATGTGAGCTATCATTGAGAGAAAGTGTGTTTTCAAGTGTGCCCTAATTCATCTTCCATCACGACAACGCTCCATATCACACATCACTTCTGACATGGCTATTTCTGTCAAATGAAAACATCACAGTGTGTCCTCAACCACCTTATTCATGGATCTGGCGCAGTGTGACTTCTGGCTCTTCCCCAAAGTCAAAATGATTCAGACATCGAGGCAGCCACAACAGCGCAACTAAAGACACTCACAAAAGAGGACTCCAGAACTGCTTCAGAAAGTGGCAAGAACAATGGAATAAGTGTGTTCAAAGTGATGGGGAGTATTTTGAGGGGAATTAACGGCAATATGTCTTTTATTGTAATACATTTTTTTTTACTTAAACATGTACCATATTATTTGATTATAACTCATAGGTGATTACTCTATTTTTTGCACCATTTTCAATTCCACTGTTCACAAAGTTTTAAAATAAAGTCCCACCATAACTGGAATTTGTACTCCAGAAACGTGAATTTGCAACATATATTGCACTCACATAATTATTTTCTGGGCCCATGTTTTCTACAGTTTTATTTTGTTTAAATTGCAAAAGTCTGATGCTCTTGCTTGGGATATTTTAAATTTTCTACAATGAAGAATCTAATAGTCACTTAGGAACATTAACTGTTGAAAATACTTCTAAAATTATGGTGAATGAATAATGGTTACTTATGAATTACTAATACTGGGATGCACTTCAGACTAGGATATATAGTGTGGTTCTGCCCCCATATAATTTAGAGACTTCGTGGGTGACATATTTCCCACTATCCTTCCTCATTTTTCTTTACTGTTCTTTCCTTTCCTTCTACCCACACAGTTATTACTATCTACAGTTTCAACAGCAAAGTGCCAAGATCATCAAGCAAAGGTGTGTTTTTTTGTTTTATTTTGTGTTTTATCTATTTTTTAAAAATGTAACTCAAGCAGTGCAAACCCAGGCTTTATGAGCTGATGAGACATGTTATTACAGTGCAGCCTAAGGACGATCTGCAGTAGGTTTGTGGGACAATCCAGAAGTTTCTATTTTTAACCAGAAATCCATATGATTCCTGTGCACATTAGAATTTTGAGAAATTAGTATTTCTTTCCCTTACAAACTCTGTGGCCTACAGAAGAGGAACATATTAAGATCAAATCTACATTTTCTATAAGGGTAGGGTAATATTGGGTTTTTGGAAAAGTTGTGATGTATTTTTTATATGTTTTTCATTGCAAAAATGCATCATGACTTTTCCGACAACCCAATAGATTATTTAAAACAGAAAGATCAAAACCTGTTTTTCTCAGTGAAAAAATACTAGTACTGAAACTACTGGTATATTAAGTTTCAAAGAAAATTATGGCTTAGCCATCAAATAGGTCAGCACATAATAATACAGCTAGATAAGACATAACATAGTGGTGATTTCTCTCCTTCCATAGTCTATATATTATATTAAACTAGTTTTTAGTTTAATAAAAGTTCTATTAAAACAGGCTGTGTGGATATAGTAAAATACTATGGTTCAAATAAAATGGTTATTAAATGATGTAAGACCAGGCCACAAAAATTGTATTATGATGTTTACCCTGTTTACGATATCCTAGATTCAGAGCATTTTGAAGACAAGTGCTGTCTGTTTTCCAGTAGAGCACAGAGGAGACTTGTATTCAGTACATGTTTGTTGAATGTATAAGAAGTGACTAGCTGGAAATATAATAAAATCACCACAGAAATTTAAAAAAAAACACAACACAGTATTTTATCACATGTAGCTATAAAAGAAAATTAACAGAAAAAATTATCTTTAAAAATGAATAACAAATAGTCATCCTGATTGACCTAAGTCAGGTAGCCAAGTACCCAGAAGTTTTAAATAAGCTTTAACATTTTTAGATGAGATAACCCAAAATAAATTTTCAAAATTGTGCAAAGTTGCTATTCCTAACACATCAGTCAGAAAGAGAAATTGATATTCCAGCATGCTAATGAACTAGTAAGTGTTAAAGACAGTGGTTACTTATTAGTTAGAAAATATGTGAGGAAACAAAATTCAGAAAAACTTGAAAAATAACCCAAGTTTTTGTTTAACTGTATTTACTGGGCTAATTCTTTAAGTCTAGAAACAACTGTGAACACTGTGATGTTGTCAATGATTGCATGCTGAGCATGTAAATGAAAAATGGCGATTTCAATTTTCATTTCATCAAGACAAGAAATAAAATGAAAATGAATGCTAATTAGTGCATTGTGTCATACACAAGAAAGATTAGGGGAATTCTTGCTCATTTTAAGTGAGTTAAAGCAAAGTACTCAAAAGTTTCATTTGAATGGAAGAATGTAAAACAAGTGTCAAAGGAAATTAATAATGCTCAACACACCTCTTAGATGTGATCTTCCTTTTAGAAAGAGATACACTTCTATTTTTGAAAAATAACTTAGAAAATAAGATGTTATTAAATAATATAACAACATAATATATATTATACTCTGGACACCATCACAAAGCATTTATTGAATAACAAGTTTTCAGTTTTCTTCCCATTATATGCATGATATCTTCATCTAATATAAAATCACTTTTATTTACTTTTACTATTTTTCTCTTAGAGCTCACTATCACCTTCACATTAAAAGCAAAATAATGATAGTTATAATAACAGACTGCCTTTTAAAATAAAGGAAGTATTTAATTATTCTACGTAAGTTGATAAAGTTATATTTATCTACCTATAGTCACTGGGATAAAGAGAACGTAAAGTTCATTTATACTTTGAAAGGTGTAATAAAGCACAGTATTAAGTGAGCAATAAATGGGCACAAAGGAAAGTGAAATATCAGGGCATGAAACTTTTGTAAGGTGTTTCTCACAGAAAATATTGCAAAAGTATGTTATTTATGGTTTATTGAAACATGGCAGTTACTGAAGTGCACAAACATTAATTTGCCAAACAGAAACCTTGATGCAAACTTGTAACATTATCTATTTATTGTTCTGCAATTTCTACTCTGAATCTTAATTTCTAAATTTTTATCACAACTTCAATCCCATAAACACCCTTCATAGTAGTCAATGAAAGAAATGGTCTCTGGAATGATTTTTAGTAGATAAATGCAGGTACTTTTTGTTGTTTTATGTCTATTTTAAACTGTAATTGGAAATTCATTAGTCTATGATCAAAATTATTCAGATGTACCATTTCCACTCTCGGATTTTTGTTGCACATGTGGCTATAGATGAGAAAAATCATGTGTAACTTAAGAAGCAATTCCTGAAAATGCATCCAAATATAAATTCCTAAAACAAGACATTAGGTAACCACATGGGGTCATATAGATCAAAGAAATACATATATAGGATATGTAATAATTTATTAGACACCTGAACCAAGGAAACATCTGAAGGAGATGTAGCCCTGTTCCTAAAACATGGAATCATGATTTGGTCATAAAACAATTTTCTTTCCTATTAACTGCATGTAAAACAGACCCTGTACATTGCACCTATAATGCCACATTATAGATCCCCATCTTAAAAATTACCTTGACTCTAAATATGTAGTAAACAGATAAAAACAGATCAACTACATTTGTAATAGCTTCCTATTCCAATGAGAGAAGGCCAAACCTTCAGTGTACATGAATCCTAAAGCACACTAAACTCAAACATTCAATTTGAACACATTCCTCCAGCAACTTATATACAAATGATGATTTTCTTTACAATATTCCCCAGATCCTCACCGAGCATCTCTGATCATGCTGTTCCCTTGGCTTCTAATCTCTACTGGAAGCCATCTTTCAAGGCCTACCTCAAAAGCTATCTTTCCCATGAAGCTTTCTCATGATAATTAGTGACTTCTTCCTCTGACTCCATTATACACTATACTTAGCACACATCAATGACTTGTTAGGTGCCATCAATGTGCTCCCCCTACCCTAACAGATGTATATTCTTTCTACAGAAAACTGGTTTATCACCTTTTCTGTCCTGCTATGTAGTTCACTGTCTCTCTTCAGCTAAGTGCTCAAAAAGTGATTCACTGAATAATATATTGTTTTCTCCTGTTTTAAAAAATAACTGATAAAAATAAATGTATTAAATGTATGTATTGAAACACCCTTAGTTATTGAAAGAAGTTGCTGAAGACCCCTGAGATATTACCATAATCTATTGTATATTTTATACTTGTGGAACCACTTCTGAGGCAGAAAAGGAAAAGGTGAAATTTTAATTTTCTTGAAGTGCCAAAAGTTGCTGCGCAATGTTAACCATCCTTCTATGATATGCACCTTGAAACAGTGATACTTATAACCCAAGAATTAAAAAAAAATTTAACCCTTTTAACACACTTTCCAGTGGAATGTGTATGTTTCCCACAGTTTCAGAGTTTACAGCCAATGTGGACTCTTAACGAAATTATCCTTTCCTTAGTGACCATGAAGAAAAGTCACATTTGGGCTCTCACTGTCTTCTCTCTGAAATGACTCTGGTCATCCTTTGGCAGTAACCTTGTCCCATCACATCTGTTACCTGAATCCATGGCCATCTGTCATTTTCTGCAGCTGTCCAGGCATTTATAAGCCCCTTCTTATTAAGACGTGCATAGTAGGGGTACCATTTCTGGAGTCCAAAAAGAGCTCGGTGGGTAGACGAAGCTGTGATTTGTTGATTTGATATGATGCCACCTTCAATTCCCAACGGCCCTGAGCATTCTGGGAACAAATCAGGAGAAAAGAACATGTGACTGTATTAGAAATAACCCATATTTGAACTGTGGCTGTTGAATTTCATGAGAGATATTTTAAAAATGATTTCAATTTGTGACATCATTCCACATTAGCCCCATGTACTCTACAGATGTTATTGACCACTCCATAAAATAAATAATTCTTGTTCCTCATGACACTCTCCTGTTTCTTTGAGTGTGGCACCTGAACACATGTCTCTTCTGCATTACACTTCTGCATTATGTACAGTTATCCTTTGCTGTTGATCACATCAACAAAAGTAGAATGCCTTGAAACGAACTATCTCATATTTTATATTCTTAGAGATTAACATGCCTCAAAAATCATAAATTCTCAGTAAATATCTGTTGATTTATTATTTATTTTCTAGCCTTTCTCTAAGTTTCTATCAACATCATTTTCATACTGACTTAGCATTTCTTAATACTATAAATTTTTATAACTTAACTTTTTATAACTACTGTCAGTTACGCTTCTACAAGAAGAGCAATGTGTAAATCTGTCAACATTTAAAAATATTATAACTTGTGATATATTCTAAATAATAGAAAATATGTAGACCGATTACAATGTAAATTTAATTTTTATAAAGTAAGCAGGTAAACACTCTGATAGTGTTTGGCATGTATACAACAGTATGTATACCATTCAGTAAATCAAGATATTAAGATATTTATATTTTTAACATTTTAAATGTAAAATTCACAACTTTATATATTGCTGCACTTACATTTTAACTTCTTTATTTTATTTTTTGTTAAGTTTGCAACTTGAAAACTTAAGAGAAATTTCCTAATACAATTTTTAAATACTAAGATTAAAAGCATAAAATACTCAAAAGATATGTTCTCAGATACCAAATGTGTTCAGATTTTAACTTAGAAATGGAGGCCAGTCCACCTAAAAATTATATATGTTTATATTACATACACTGGACTTTCTTAATTAGTTCATAAAATTTCACCAGAAAGTACATTTATTTTAAATTTGATTTTGAAAATTCATAAGTAATATTATGAATAATGAAATATAATATCTAATTTTCTTTACTTCATTAATATTTGATACACCATACTCAACTTTTTGCCAAATTAGTTCTGCATAATAAATATGATAATCCTATTATAAAACATACTATAATAATTTATCAGAATTACAGTAAATATGGAAGGACTACACTGCCATTATTAGATGCTGCTCTACACAAGTCAACTGATCAGTGATTGTCACCAAGCAAATTTTATAGATTTTAATTACTATTGAAATCCTACATTTTCCTGTAATTAAATATTCACATCAGCTTGAGGTTGAAATTATGAAAGAAATAATTCTGCTGCTGGGTTATAATATTTTTAAAAGTTCCAAAGATGCTTTTCATTAGTAACCATTTTTTCATTAAGCATAGACATGTTTCTTTTTTCTATTTCATGCTCAGACCATAAGTAGCTCTAAGTATATTACTAACGTTTCTCCAACCGCTTTAAAACCTTTAATTACTTTTTATAAAAAGAATGAAAACATTTGATAAGTGATCATCTTGATCAGTAAACTGACAATAAAGTAAAAATTGCCTCTGTGACTGATGATTAATAAATCATGCACTTGGTAAGTTAAATTTAGATACTAAGATCTTGTCTAAAACATGTACTTAGAGCTGTTTAGCATGTTATCAAGGTGCACTATATCACTTTGAAGTCATTAAATTAAGAAGCCGTTCATTTTTAGAATTGCAGTATGAGGAGTAACAGATAATAATCTGATTTTCACATTCCAAAAAAATTAACATTGACAACTCAAATGCTGAGTCGTTGGATTCCTGCTTTGCTATCCATTTTAAACAAGACCTTTACAGGCTTCATAAAAGCACGGAGACACTTTGATGATGACACTTTGATTTTAAAGAACTTCAGGAGGCTCACTTTTTAAGAATATGGCCATGAAAAGAGTGTCAAGGATCCTTGTCCTTGATTTTTGCAATGTTTGCATGGGAAAACGCAGCAGTCAGGGAGGCCATTTATTGTGGGCCAGTCAGTGGAAGGGCAGAGCTAGAGAGCCAGCTTGGGTTAATTAAACTGCATGACAGCCTTAGAAAGAACTCTACACCATTTAGTGGTGTATTTCTAAAGACTTTACGCTGAATTGGACATCGTCACAGAATTTGTAACCATTTAAAAAGCGTGATTAGACCGCAAACCTCATTATTTAGTGTGCCTACTTCATCAGTACTCTTAACCAACCAACTTCCCCTTATCAGGTAACATATCAGCACATACATCGGCCGTGAAATGTTGCATTATCATCTAAGCCAAATACTAATCAGTAATTAAAAAAAATATATATATATATATATATATATTTGCATGTACATCTTTTTTTTTTACTCTACCATAAGGCTCCCAAATCTTTGTCATGTTCTCACTAGTCATTATTTCAAACAAAATATAATTCAAATTTATATATATATATATATATATATATATATATATGTATATATATATATATATATATATATATATATATATATATATAGCCATGCTATATTTATATAGGGCTTCACAGTATACAAAGGATTTTCACATAAGCTATCTCACTGCTGTGATGTTAAATTTACGATTACTGTATTTCTTTACTAGGTCCTCAATTCCATTTTTAAAAAAATAAACATTTACAACATTCACTTACATACTGTGTACTGCCCACCAATAAAGCCCACTAGAGAAAACATGACTCTGTGGGGATTCTTGAATGACGCGTGAGTCAGTGAGACATCAGCTTACTGCCTTGCTGGCTAGTGGTCCTCGATTTTTCTTATTTCAAAATTGGGGTTATGAGGATACTTAATTCACCAGCCGTGAGGCAATACAAGGGAAAAAAGTGTTCTGCCTTTGTAACTATACATTGTTAACAAACAATGAGCTTGATTCTGTAAGGTCACTGGCATGTTTCTTTTCAGAGCTGAAACAATCTTGGCCTTTAGCTCCTTAGAGCAGGCGCTGGTCTTCACTCTGTTGCATCCTTTTGCTCGTTGGTGGCTTGTATGCAGAAAGAGCACAATAAATATGTGCTGAATATTGGTATTGGAGGCTTTTTATTTTTTCTAAACAGTAAACTCATAAGCAAATTCAAACCTCACACTTTATTTCACACAAGAAACTTGTCACAACAGCAGCTTTTCTTCACTAATCATTTGGACCACAGTCGAATGGATGTCATCATAATAAAAGGTTCAAAATCCAATTTCCTTTTGCCTGTACTATCCACTTCCCCAATGTCCTATTAAATTCAACAGTTATAAAAACTAATGAAGGAATTGCAATTCAGAATGCAAATGATTATACACCTAAGATTAAGTGACCTTAAGCAGCGAACAATAAGATGGTTAAAAGAAAGATAATATGGAGCCATGCATTGCTATCATTACCAATAAATGAGGGAAGGGTATGAAATACTACTTGATGGAAAGCTTAAAATTAGATAAGCATACTGAAGTTTGAAAAGAGTACCCACATGTATTTCCTCACATAGTCAAAATAATATTTTAAGAAAAAAAGGCTATCATGCCTATTTCATAAAGGAGGAAACTTGTAAGGAGGGAAATTAAACTTATAAAAGGTGAGTCTGGAATTTAAGCCAAATGCTCTGCTTCACAAACAGACAATAATATTAACTGACAAAGCGAAGAATTCAGTAATTCTTCAAAGGTTGACTCCGGTTCTTTTTCCTCTGCTGTTCTTTAATATGCGAGATGCATAATTACAAATAGTAGGAAAGAGGCAGAAGAGTTAACGTGAAGGAAATGTAGACTATCACTAGTGACATTCAGGATATGACAGTTTTCACAATTTAAGATACATTTAAAAAGCAGGTGATAGTCTATGGCAATGAATCACGGAAGTAAATACTGAGGTATTATGGTATTACGGTGTTAAAAAATTAACCTGCTATCATTATTAGCTTATATACTGCTTATCGAATATGGCTGGGCTAATTCAGTCCCAAGTAATTTAATGATGTCTTACTACATACCCATCAAGTCATCAATCCATCCATCCACTCACCCTCCAATTCATTTCACTCAGTTTTGAAAAATACGTATTTATTAAAGATCGACTATCTAATCAGGTACTTTTCTCATCAGTGGAGACACGGGGAAAAACAAGGCAGAAAAGGTCTCAGCTCTCAGAGTTCATATTCTAGTGGGGAGACAAACTATAGACAAACAAATAAATAAGGAAATCCCATAAAGAGGTAAGTAAAGAATGAAAGATGGACGAACTAAGTGAGGGTGTGTCGGGTGAACAGAGATGAACTTTCTGTGAGGTAACACTAAAGCCGACCTCTGAATGAGAGGCAGGAGTTGGCTACTCCGCTTGTTTTACTGTACTGGCTTCCTCAAGGAGCTTTCACTCCAGTAGGAGAAATACCAAGAGAAAGAAAAGCATTGTAATATAGTATATGATAGTGAGTGCAGAGGATTTAATGGGAGAATGGAAGAGGGAATCATAACCCAGCCTGGGGTGCAGGGAAGGGTTTCCTGGAAAAGAGTGGGAGCTAGCATAATGAAGAAGGAAGGGAGAGCAGACACAGAGCTGGAAACGGCCTGGTATAATTAGGGCAGTAGAGGCAGGTCAGTATTATTAGACCAAGATGGGTTGGTGGAGGGATGGTTAAAGACGAGGAGAAGTAGAGAGATGTATATTATTTTGCTGAAGAGCTTACTGAGAGAACATGATTCAATCAGTGGAGGGAGTTTTTGAAGGATTCTAACTGTGGTTACATTTTCATTTAATATAGATCATTTCTGCTCTCCTGTGGAAGGTAGGTTTAAGAAGGGACAGACTATGCCAAATATGAGCTATTACAATTGTCCAGGTGAAAAATGAGACACATCTGAAAGAGGAAAGAAAAAGAAGAGTTCAAGGCTTACTTAGAAGGTAAAATGGTTTTGCAGAGCTAGTCATAAT